TCTCATTCTTTTTCTCCCAGTTTCATTTTTAATTTTTTCTATATCTCTATTACTTATTTATAATTTCAACTTTTATTTTAGATTCACGGGGTACATGTGCAGGTTTGTTACCTGGGTATATTATGTGATGCTTATATTTGGGGTACAATTGATCCCATCACCCAGATAGTGAGCATAGTACCTAATAGTTTTTCAACCTTTACTCCCCTCATTCCTTCCCCTCTTTAGTAGTCCCCACTGTCTGGTATTGCCATCTTTATGTCCATGAGTATCCAGTGTTTAGCTCCACTTATAAGTGAGAGCCTGTGGTATTTGGGTTTCTGTTCCTGCATTAATTGGCTTAAGATAATGGCCTCCAGCTGCATCCATGTTGTTATAAACGACATGATTTTGTGCTTTTTATGGCTGCATAGTATTCCACCCCCTCGTTCTGGAAACCCATTTTTCACTGGATTAACATTCACCTAATTCTCCTGATTTTAGTATTTTAGTCCTTTGGGGCTGCTATAACAAGATACCATAAACTGAGGGGCTTATCAACAACAACATTTTTTTTTTTCCTCACAATCTGGAAGCTGGAAGTCCAGGATTAAGGTACCAGCAGACTTGGTGCCTGCAGAGGGACCACTTTCCAGTTCATAGAGGTTTCTAGCTGTGTCCTTACATAGTGGGTGGAGCAAACGAGCTCCCTTAAGTCTATTTTTTTTTTTTTTTTTTTGAGGCAGGATCTTGCTTTGTTGCCCAGGCTGGAATGAGGTGGTGCAATCATGACTCACTGCCCCGACTTCCTGTACTCAAGTGATCCTCTTATCTCAGCCTCCAAACTAGCTGGGACCACAGGCATGTGCCACCACTCCTAGCTAGTTTTTTTTATTTTTTATTTTTGCATAAACAGGGTCTTGCTCTGTTGTCTAGGCTGGTCTCCAAGTCCTAGGCTCAAGCAATCCTCCCACCTTGGCCTCCCAAAGTGCTAGGATGATAGGCATGAGCCACCGAACCTTGCGCCTATTGTAAGGGCACTAATCCCATTCATGAGGGCTCTGCCCTTCAGACCTAATTACCTCCCAGAGGCCCCACCTCCTAATACTATTACCTTGGTAATTAAGTTTCAACATATGAATTCTAGGGGACCACAAACATTCCGACCATAGCATCCTCCTACCCAAGTGGCCACTCCTCTTGCCAACCTCTCATCCAGGCTTGGGGCTTTCAATGACAGCTGAGTACTCATCTCTTTCAAATTATCTCTGTGCCTCAATTTCTCCCCAGAGCTCCAGGTTCATTATCTTTTTGTTGTTGTTGTTGTTGTTGTTGTTGTTTAGATGGAGTCTTTCTCTGTCACCCAGGCTGAGTGCAGTGGTGCAGTCTTGGCTCACTGCAACCTCTGCTGCCCAGGTTCAAGTGATTCTCGTGCCTTAGCCACCCAAGCAGCTGGGATTACAGGCATGAGCCACCATGCCTGGCTAATTTTTGTATTTTTAGTAAAGACAGGGTTTCACCATGTTGGCCAGGCTGGTCTTGAACTCCTGGCCTCAAGTGATCCACTGGCCTCAGTCTCCCAAAGTGTTGGGATTAGAGGCATGAGCCACTGTGCCTGGCCCAGGCTCATATATCTAACTGCACACACACCTGGCATCTCTGCTTGGAGGTCCATTAGGCATCTTCAAACTAACATGGGTTAACTAGAACCTTTGATATTCTGCACCCTCCTTCCCATCACTTCCTCACTGAGTCTTCTCCATCCTTCATTCCATTTTCAGCCCGAAGCCTAGAAGTCATTATTCTGTTCTGCAATCTGTTTGCAAGTTATGTCACTTCTACATTCAAAATATTATATATCCAGAATTCAACCATGGTTCACCATATCCATCACTTGTACCAAAGCCACCATCATAAGCAGACCAGTGGTTTCCATATTTATTTGGCATTTTCCCTGATGAAGATAGAATTATACTTTATGTAATTTGAAATATGTAGAAATAGAAGCTGACCCTGCACCCCTAATATATGTATATTTACTAACTGGCAAATTATATGTAGATACCTATTAAGATGTATTATAAAACATAAAAGAGAAATTTATAAAGGGTGACCTAAAGAGAAAATAGACAGTTTTTAAATGTCTTGCTAATTGTGATAGCTTCATACTATCATTTTACCTAACATCTCAAGGCACAATATACACTTAGGTAAGGTTTGTGATTAATTATAATAAAAATACACATTTCAAATAGCCTTTTTATTAATTCCACATTTCACTTGGACACAAGTGTAAGATTTGATCAAATTCTCTTTTTTAATCTTAAAGTGTGGCTAACAAAGATCTCATACCAGGAAAATGAGGATGTCAGATCCACCATTTTCATGTGATTTGCTTGTGATTGTATTGTTAATATTAATAATATGACTTCCAATATATGACTTCTTAGCAGGAATCTTGTAAAGCCACTTGTTCTTTTCTTCTTCTTTTTTATTTTTGAGACGGAGTTTCACCCTTGTTGCCCAGGCTGGAGTATAATGGTGCAATCTTGGCTCATTGCAACTGTGTCCTCCCAAAAAGATATGTTGAGGTCCTATCCCCCAACATCCCCCAGCATGTGATCTTATTTGAAAATAGGGTCTTGTAGAAGTAAGCAAGTTAAAATAAAGTCATTAGGGTGGGCCCTAATCCAACATGACTGGTGTCCTTATAAAAGGGAAGTTTGGACACCGAGACCGAGACCGACATGCACAGAGGGAACATGATGGGAGGAGACACAGGAAGAACATCAAGAATTGCCAGCAAACATCAGAAGCTAGAAGAGTCAAGGAAGGATTCTGCCCTAGAGCCATGGGGGCTGGAGGGGAGCAAGTGCATGCCAACACTTTGATTTTGGACATCAAGCATTCAGAACTGTGAGACAATTTTTGGGTTTGATCCTTTGTTACGGCAGGCAGCCCTAGAAAACTCAAACAAAAGAGAAAATTGTTGTACATGAGGCAGTAATTGCTGAGGACTTTGACTGGAGAAGCCAAGGCACATAAAGGAAGTTGTAGCCGAAGCACATAAAGGAAGTTGTTCTGTTTCCAAGTGGAAACAGAATTGCTCAACAAGCAGAATTCAGTAGTGTGGAGTATTGGATCAGTCTCCTTAAACACATATTCAGGTAACTGACCTTTATTCTTGGTCTCTTCTTCTTTCCAAATACCATATTCCATTGATCCTAGAGGCACCTATCACATCTCTGAAATCAGCCTGACTGTTGGCCAGCGAAAGGAAGTGTAAAAAAGTTTAAAAAAAAAAAATCACATGGAGAGATAATCACAGACAACTTGTGGTACACAATATTATATTAACAATTTTAAAATATGCATATAAATGCATTTCTATCTATATATAACTTCTATCTATATGATTATCTATCTACATATACTTTTTTTTTGTATTTTTTTTTTTTTAGTAGAGACAAGGTTTCACCATATTAGCCAGGATGGTCTCGATCTCCTGACCTGGTGATCGGCCCGCCTCAGCCTCCCAAAGTGCTGGGATTACAGGCGTGAACCACCGTGCCCGGCCTATCTATATATAATTATATATATTCTATCTATATAGCTATATATAATTTCTATCTATAATGCAAATCTACATATAATTTCTATCTATATATATGTAGATAGAAAAGTTAGGGAATTCACTGCAGGTGCTGTTTGAGGTCCACTTTTTAAACCTAACATTACATAATAAAACACTATTTTAAGAAGCCGCCCCAGGCCGGGCGTGGTGGCTCACTTCTGTAATCCCAGCACTTTGGGAGGCCAAGACGGGTGGATCACGAGGTCAGGAGATCGAGACCATCCTGACCAACATGGTGAAACTCCGTCTCTACTAAAAATACAAAAATTAGTCTGGCCTGGTGGCGTGCGCCTGTTGTCCTAGCCACTCAGGAGGTCAGGAGGCTGAGGCAGGAAGATCGCTTGAACCCGGGAGGTGGAGGTTGCAGTGAGCCGAGATTGTGCCACTGCACTACAGCCTGGGCGATGGAGAAAGACTCCGTCTCAAAAAAGAAAAAAAAAAAAAAAAAAGGAGCTGCACGATGTTCCCCTTGGGCGTGTACCACACCTTATTTAACCATTCCCAAACTGTTTCCATTTTTTTCTGATGTTAAATAAACTCTAAGATGTACAGACGTCTTTTATCTGGCTCTCCGATTACCTTCTGCAGATAAACTCCTAGAAGTTACTGGCGCAAAGGGAGTGAACCTTTAATTTTTTTGAGACAGAGTCTCGCTCTGTAGCCCAGGCTGGAGTGCAGTGGCGCGATCTCGACCTCGGCTCACTGCAAGCTCCGCCTCCCAGGTTCACGCCATTCTCCTGCCTCAGCCTCCTGAGTAGCTGGGACTACAGGCGCCCGCCACCGCGCCCGGCTAATTTTTTGTATTTTTAGTAGAGACGGGGTTTCACCATGGTCTCGATCTCCTGATGTCGTGATCCGCCCGCCTCTGCCTCCCAAAGTGTTGGGATTACAAGCGTGAGCCACCGCGCCCGGCCGAACCTTTAATTTTTAATAAAATTTTTTAAATTACAGAAAATTAAAGCCGTAGTCGTCGGATTCTACTTCATAGACGGTCCACAGAGATTTCAACCAGTTCGATTGAAACCATCCCAAATTCCCTCCCCGCACTAAGTTTTCCTCGGTCTTGGGAAACGTGGCCCCGCAGCCCGCACTCACGAGTGCGCACAAACGCGGGCCTCTTTCCAATGGGGAAACTTCTTGACACGCCCCCGAGGCGCCACCTCTTTAAAATTTAAAACGAAGGCCCAGGCCAATGAATGCTAAGCTTCTCTCGAAACACAGAGACCCGCCCACCATCACTCCCTTCACCAATCAGACTGAAGTTTTCTCCACTGCCCCTCCAATCACCGCCAAAAATGGAAGTTGCTCCCATAACTTACGTAAGGCAAGCAGCCAATAGGAGCTAACCTTGGAAACTAGCTCCGCCAATAGCAGCAGCTCCTGAAGAGCGCGGGAGCCTTTCGACCAGGGTCCCAAAGGAAAGCAGTGAATGGCGCTGGTTCCCTGAAGGAAGGGACTAAGGGACTGTGGCACGGGCCCGGACCGGGGCCCCGGGGCGGCGGCACGGCCGATATGGCATGCTGTCACAAAGTAATGCTGCTGCTCGACACCGCGGGCGGCGCCGCTCGCCACAGCCGGGTCCGGCGGGCCGCCCTGCGCCTCCTCACCTACCTGAGTTGCCGATTCGGCCTGGCCAGGGTCCACTGGGCCTTCAAGTTCTTTGACTCGCAGGGGGCGCGGAGCCGGCCGTCCCGAGTGTCTGACTTCCGCGAGCTGGGGGCTCGCTCGTGGGAGGACTTTGAGGAGGAGCTGGAGGCCAGGCTCGAGGATCGCGCCCACCTGCCCGGCCCGGCGCCCAGGGCCACCCACACGCACGGCGCCCTGATGGAGACGCTGCTAGACTACCAGTGGGACCGGCCCGAGATCACGTCGCCCACGAAGCCGATCCTGCGGAGCAGCGGGAGGAGACTGCTGGACGTGGAGAGCGAGGCCAAGGAGGCCGAGGCCGCGCTCGGGGGCTTGGTGAACGCCGTCTTCCTCCTGGCCCCCTGTCCGCACTCGCAGAGGGAGCTGCTGCAGTTCGTGTCTGGGTGCGAGGCCCAGGCCCAGCGCCTGCCGCCCACCCCTAAGCAGGTGATGGAGAAGTTGTTGCCCAAGAGAGTCCAGGAAGTCATGGTCGCCCGAAAAATCACCTTCTACTGGGTGGATACCACCGAATGGTCTAAGGTAAGAAGGTTACAGTCGTCTCAGCGTGCGCGGTGCGTTCCTCGCTAACCAGAACTTGGCAGCGTCCTTAGAGCAGCCACAGACCCGGAATGAGACTAACATGACTATGGCTCCCTTCGGAAGGAAATAAATAAATAGGGACAGTTTTCACAACAAAATGGGTAGTTCCTCATTACCTACTGTTTAAGACCCCTTACTATTTGGGCCCTACCTGCCTTCCCAGACTTGATTTTCCTACACACTACATCTACTCTAGCATATTAAAGTCCAGTCTAGAAAATCAACAGGTCTGGACCGCTTGTTTTGTGTTATGTGTGTTCTTCAATCTGCCTGGAATGCCAGTTCTCACTCTTCCAGGCCAGTCCTAACTTCACTTACCCTTTAACGCTTCCCCCAGTGACAACTGCTCAGTCCAGCGTCTGAATTGCTATACACATTTTTGTGTGGCACTTAACCCTTTCTCCATATGTTTTGATTGTGCACATCTCTCACTCTCCATCTAGTCTAAAAATACCTCAGAGGCAGGCAGCAGGTTTTAACACAATACCCAGATGTGTGAGTGTGTATATATGTGTGTGTGTGTATATATACGTATATATGTGTATACATGTGTGTGTATACATATGCATGTATATGTGTGTATGTGTGTGTGTGTGTGTGTGTGTGTTTTGAGATAATCTATGTCGCCCAGGCTGGAATGCAGTGTCACAATCTCGCCTCACTGCAACTTCCACCTCCCGGGTTCAAGCGATTCTCGTGCCTCAGCCTCCCAGGTAGCTGAGACTACAGGCCCATGCCACCATGCCCAAGTAATTTTTTTGTATTTTTAGTAGAGACCAGGTTTCATGCTGCCCAGGCTGGTCTCGAACTCCTGGCCTCAGGCAATCTGCCTGCCTTGGCCTCCTGAAGTGCCAGGATTATAGGTGTGAGCCACCATGCCCAGCCACCCAGATGTGTATTAAACATTGTAGGTGTTCAGTCAGTATTTGCTAACTAAATGAGTAAATACTTGCAAACTTAAAGTCTTACATGGCTAATTTGGATTTTTGTTGAAGCGGTGAGGGCCCCTGCTCCTGTTAAGTGCTAGGATAAGTATATATTTTTGCCTTCATCCTTCTCCTCATTGCACTTCATTTAGTCAACAAATGTACATTGAGAAGCCAGTAACATTGAGTGCCTACCACACTGTTTGAGCTGCTGGGGACATATTAGCCAAAGCAGGGAACAGATTAAACAGATCAGCAAGTGACAATTTCAAATCATGCTCTGGAGAAAATAAAACGGGGTGAGAGGATGGGAGTAGAAGGAGGTGGTTATTGTATATAGGGTGATAGTCAGGGAAGGCTTTTTTTTTTTTGGAGACAGAGTCTTGCTTTGTCACCCAGACTGGAGTTGCAGTGGCACGATCTCGGCTCACTGCAACCTCTACCTTCTGGGTTGAAGCAATTCTCCTGCCTCAGCCTCCCAAGTAGCTGGGATTACAAGCGGGTGCCACCACGCCTGGCTAATTTTTTTGTATTTTTAGTAGAGACGGGGTTTCACCATGCTGCCCACCCTGGTCTCAAACTCCTGTGCTCAGGCAATCCGCCAACCTCAGCCTCCCAAAGTGCTGGGATTACAGGCGTGAGCCACTGCGCCCAGCAGGGAAGGCCTTTTTGAGCAGATAATTGAATGGTGAAGGAGGAGGAACTCAAAGGTAGGTAAAGAACATTCCAGGTGAAGAGATGAGCAGGTGTAAGGATTTCAGCTGGAAATGAACTTAGTTTGTTTCAGAAACAAAAAGGCAAGGAGTGCTGAGACCTAGTAGGCAAGGGGAGCAGTGTGAGAGGAAGTCAGAAAGCAGGAGAGGCCGACCTGTAGGGCCAAGGTCAAAAATGTGGATTTTGTTCTAATTAATTAATGGGAAGTCTTTGGAATGTGGTTTAACCAGGTGAAAGATGCCATTCCGCTTAATGGAAATACATGTCACTAACCCAGGAGTGAGTTAAACTGCAAGATTACAGATGGAAAATGAGCAAGCATTTAAATAATGATATGGTGTGTTAACATTTTCAAAGTGCCTTCACATACAAAGCCCGAAAAAGGCGTGACAAATGCAAAATAAGGCAGCAGTGGTTTGTCAAGAAAAGGAAAGGACAGGAAGTGTTTAAGGAGATGATAAACATTTATGGGGAAAATGGAATCTTAGAAATATTAAAATTTAAGGCAGCCAGTCAAGCCTTAGACACAGTATACAACACATTGCTCAGTTTGAAACAATTCATATCACATCAAAAACTTTCTTCTGGAATTGTATTTTGTTAAATATTGGCTAGAAATAAGTTAGATGGGGCTTGATGGGTCTTGGAGATTCTTTGTCTCGCTTTTTTTCTCTTTAATCTCTCTCTCTCTCTTTTTTTTTTTTTTTTAAATATTGGCTAGAAATAAGTTAGATGGGGCTTGATGGGTCTTGGAGATTCTTTGTCTCGCTTTTTTTCTCTTTAATCTCTCTCTCTCTTTTTTTTTTTTTTTTTTTGAATAGCATTGAAATAAGTGGGTTGACTGGATATTTTTAAAGATCCCTTCCAGGTCTGACATACCGTCGACTGAGGGGATGGGTCTTCTCTGAGGCTTCCCTTCTTACATCTGCTGTTTCCCCTAAGAAAATGCCCATCAGATACTCTTAAGCTTTTCTGGAATTTTCTTCTGCTGAAGATCTAGCATTTCCTATTCAAAAACCTGCCCAGCCATGCTGGGCAAAAGGAAGGTTTAGGCTGTGTCCTTGGGGAGTGCTCTGTCCAGGAGTGGGCAAAAGGGAAGAAGAGAAAATCCAGGTCCTGCCTTGGGGAGCGCACAGTGTGGGAAGTATAACTGGGAGAAACAGAACTTGCACTTACATTGGAGGCGGAGGGATCCAAGCGCATAAAACAGGATATCATATTTTCTAAGATATAGGATAGAATAGAGGATAAGAGACCTCTGACACATTTTCAACTTTATGCCTTAGATTTATTCAACACTTATTTGTTCCATACCTGCCAGGTATGCTAAGGAATCAAATAGATGTAGTCCCTGCTCTCTTGGAGCTTATAGTCTAGTGGACATTTACAGATCCCCAAATTTGAAACTACCACTAGGACGTGTCTGTCACTTATCCTATAATATACATACGAATGAAAAATGTGACCATACTCTGTAGTATACTGTTCATATTTTTGTTTTTGTTTTGTTTTGTTTGAGACACTCTTGCTCTGTTGTCCAGGCTGGAGTGCAATGGCGCAATATGGGCTCACTGCAACCTCTGCCTCCTGGATTCAAGTGATTCTCCTGCCTCAGCCTCCCGAGTAGCTGGGATTACAGGCACGTGCCACCACGTCCGGCTAATTTTTGTATTTTTAGTAGAGACAGGGTTTCACCATCTTGGTCAGTCTGGTCTCGAGCTCCTGACCTCAGGTGATCCACCCCACCTCGGACTCCCAAAGTGCTGGGAGTACAGGCTGTTATTTTTTTTTAATCACACGTTTTGCTATGGTTTGAATATCTCTCCCCTCCAAAACTCATGGAGTAATGGGTGTCATGGGAGTGGGACTGATGGCTTTATAAAAAGAGGAAGAAAGTGTTGAGCTCACTTGCTCAGTGCTTTGCCCTGTGCTGCCTTGGGATTCTGCAGAGTCCCCACCAGCAGGAAGGCCTTTGCAAAGTGCAGCACCCTGGCCTTGGACTTCTCAGCCTCCATAACTGTAAGAAATAAATTCCTTTTCTTTACAAATTACCTAGTTTCAGCTATTCTGTTATAAGCAACATTAAACAGACTAAGGCATGCACACATTACCTTTCATAGAAACTTAATGTCCTTCTCAACACTTATTACAGTTACATCTTCTCCCCCCCACCCCCGCCCCCCAAGACAGAGTTTCGCTCTTGTCACCTAGGCTGGAGTGCAGTGGTGCGATCTGGGCTCATTGCAACCTCCGCCTCCCAGGTTCAAGCGATTCTTCTGCCTCAGCCTCCCCAATAGCTGGGATTACAGGCACCGACCACCACACCCAGCTAATTTTTGTATTTTTAGTAGAGATGGGTTTTCACCCTGTTGACTAGGCTGGTCTTGAACTCCTGACCTCAGGTGATCCACCTGCCTTGTGGATCAAAGTGAGGGGTGCTGGGATTAAAGGCGTTGGCCACCACCACCAGCCACAAAGTTACATCTTAACCTTTCATTTCATTAGCAGGGTTTTTTTGTTTGTTTTCCCGGCTGGTCTTCTGGCTGAAACAACTTCAACAAAATTTTTGCGTCCCTTTGGCAGCAAATCCTAATCAGGATCTATGGCGTCTGAACTAGGTTACCATTCTCTCCATAGCAGTGAACACAGATATAGATACATGGATGGTAACAGCACATACTAATTAATTGGTTAATCTAATACAGCGTTTTCCAGATTGATACGCATAACTGAAACAAAAGTTTAGATAGATTAGAAGGTAATGTGCTCCAGTACATTGTTTATCTTCGTTACATGGGATCTTTTTTTGTGTGTGTTTAATGCTGATCATAAACCACTCAATTAATCCATCAGAGAATCTATCAAAGTCCACCAGATGGTCATGATCCAAATTTTAAAAGCAGTCTAGGCCAGGCCTAGTGGTTCATACCGGTAACCCCAGCTTTGGAAGGCTGAGACAGGAGGATCTCTTGTACCCAGGAGTTTGAGACCAACCTGGGCAACATGGTGAGACCCCATCTCTACAAAAAATACAAAAGTTAGCCAGATGTGGTGGCACATGCCTGTACTCCCGGCTACTTACTCAGGAGGCTGGGGCGAGAGGATTGCTTGAGTCCAGAAAGTTAAGGCTACAGTGAGCCATGTTCATGCCACTGCACTCCAGCCTGGGCAACAGAGCAAGACCCTGTCTCAAAAAATAAAAATAAATGAAAGCAGTCTATTCAGAACAGTCCTGGGTTCTTGGACTGGTCCATCATTGCCTTGCTGTGACCACGGACGATACCCTGCTTGTCTTTGAACTTGACTATAATAGGAAGTTTGGGAATGACCTAGTTGACGTTCAAGACCCTTCTAGTTCTAATTCCTCACATTCACATAGCAGTTTATAGTTTATAATTGTTAACTGGCATGATGAGCATATTCTAAGGGGTGTGCTCCTCCTTCACATTCATGGTAACTGAATATTGTTGTTATACTGTGATGCCATGTTAAATATTTTATGTTGGTACTGTTTTATTCACCCCACCCCTCACTTCAAGATCCTAGACATGGCACGTAGAGGTTGCTCAATAAAAGTTTGTTGAAAGAAGGTTGACTGAAGAGTCAGCTGTGTGTGAAGGAGTGAAGCAGTGCTTTTACAAAGAAAGCAGGATTTAAGCCAGATACAGAAGTGTAATAACCATTCAGTTGGTGAAGAAGGAAGGGGAGGCACAGGAAATATAAATCAGCAAAAACAGGGAAGCCTTAAAATATGGCATGTTCAGGAAATAGCAAATGGTTCAATATGTCTAGAAGGAGTGGGAATGGATGAGGGGTAGAAGATAATGTGTACCAAAAGCTGGTTTAGGGTTGGATTGTGAAGGGCTTTGTGATTATGCTGAAGAGTTACTTTATTCTGGAGGCAGTGGGAAGCCTTTCAGAATTTCAGAGAAGTAGCATGATTAGAGAAGTGATTTGGAAGAATACTTAGAGCACCATGGAGGAACGATTAGAGGCAGAGCACAGACTTTACAGGCTATGGTAAGGGTTAGGGCAAAAGACACGACGAGGCCTCAGTTTGTCTGGCCTCTGCACCGGGCTGTGGGTGGGCAAGTCAGAGCAATGGCCACCATCTAGGGGAGGTACTCCTGCCTCACTCCCATGACACCTGGCCATTATTGTGTTGTGCTGTATAGGACATAATTATTTTTATTAATAGGCTGGGCACAGTGGCTCACGCCTGTAGTCCTAGAACTTTGGGAGGCTGAGGCAGGCAGATCACTTGAGGTCAGGAGTTCAAGACCAGCCTGACCAACATGGTGAAACCCCGTCTCTACTAAAAATACAACAATTACGCGAGCACGGTGGCACATTTCTGTAATCCCAGATACTTGGGAGGCTGAGACAAGAGAATCGCTTGAACCTGAGAGATGGAGGTTCCAGTGAGCCGAGATCATGCCACTGCACTCCAGCCTGGGTGACAGATCAAGACTCTGACTCAAAAAAAAAAAAGTTATTTTTATTAAAGTATAATGGTTCTATGTTCCTTCTAACATTTTATAATCTATACCCAGTGATTTGTGTCACTTCTTTCTGTTCCTTGACAAAAAATGTAAATGAGGTACTATTTTTACTAAATGAATGCTTTCTTAAAGGCATAGTAGGTAGTAATTTGTTCTGGTGCTGCACAGTAGCTTGATGCTGACCATTATTTTTGTTTAGCTCAGCAAATGCATTGGTTGTGTAATTCGACCCTTTAATATTGGTTTCAGCTTTACTTTCTTCTGATTTCCTTTACTTTTATTTATGAATGCCTAATGTGTAGTAACCTAAGGTTGTTTGTCATTTTATTTGAGATGTGGGAATCCCCAGACCACCTTGGATACTGGACTGTTTGTGAACTGCTCCACCATGGAGGTGGCACTGTCTTACCATCTGAATCTTTCAGCTGGGATTTTGCTAAAGCTGGGGAAATGCTGCTCAGGAGTGAAATAAAGCTGTCAAGTGAACCTCATCTGTCTCCGTGGATTTCAATGCTGCCAACTGATGCCACTTTAAACTGTTTGCTCTATAATTCTCCTGAGTATGAGGCCTTGTTTCCACGGATGGAAGGAATCTTATTTCTCCCTGTTGAAGGTAAGCAAATAATATTTTAAGGTTTTTTTGGTAAATCTCAGTTACATTAATTTCTTCAAAGAAGCTTTTTAACTTCTTTGGCATTTCTCACAGCCCAGGCACTCAATGAATGCTTGTCATGAAAGAATTAAAAGACATCAAGGCAAAATCAGAGATACTGTAGGAAAGATTTGAACTCCAATTCAGTACAACTGCCAGCCTGTGTACAAAAAAAACAAGTGAATGATTGATTTAAAAGTTTACCAGCTATTCCCAAAGCAGGGTAATATTATTCAGGTGCCCAAGCACATGGGTATAATATTTCATTGCCTCATAGAGGAGATTGATAAATTGAAGACCATAGAGAAACAATGGTCAACTAAAAGAAGAAATAAATTAGTCTACAGAAACCCAGAATGATGCCTGTTACCAGGAAAAGCAAACATGTTGGAATCTTCATTAAATTTGTTTCACCTTATGATTTGCTATATGGTAAATCTCATTTCTGAATACACTGTATAGTCACAGAAATAATACTGCATAGAGATATATACATAAAACTGTGTGCTACATTATGTGCAGTTTAAGGAATTTTCAAGAGTAGTTTTGTTTATGTAATTTCATTACACAGTCTTTAGAATTTAACCTCCTCATAAGATATGATGCACTGTACTTTATGGATTTAAGAAGTGGTATCTTCTTTCTCATAAGTAGTAAACATTGCTTGAATACTTATTTCTTTTCTTTTTCTTTTTTCTTTTTTTTTTTTTAAGACAAGGTCTTGCTCTATCACCCAGGCTGGAGTGCAGTGGTACGATCATAGCTCAGATCGCGGCTCACTGCAGCCTTGACCTCCTGGGCTCAAGGGATCTTCCCACCTCAGCCTCCCAAGTAGCTGGGACTACAGGCATGAGCCACCACACCTTGCTCATTTTTGTATTTTTTGTAGAGATGGGGTTTCGCCATGTTGCCCAGGCTGGTCTTTAACTCATTGACCTCAAGTGATCCTCTGGCCTTGGCCTCCTAAAGTGCTGAGATTACAGGCATGAGCCACCATGCCTGGCCTTCAATACTTATTTCTAAGTCATAATTTCTGAGAAGTTCTGCCATTACATATTGCCTTTGTAATTCCATTTGTTTATAGCTTTTTCTATAGAGCTAAATGAACTTGCTGTGATGGCGTGGCAGTAGAATAAGGGTTGAAGTGTTCAACTAAGTGACAGTATCTCAACTGGCAACTTGATTTTCTTCTTATTGTTAATAAATCTCTTTTTAGTATGTATTCCTTATATTTGAATTTTAATCTTTTTTTCTTTTTAATTTTAATTTGGCATTCTGGTCTAATTAATCTTTATTTCTATGCAGGCAAAGAGATTCAGGAAACATGGACAGTCACCCTAGAGCCCTTGGCCATGTATCAGAGACATTTTCAGAAACCAGTCAGAATTTCTCTAAAAGGCTCTGTGGCCCAGTGGTCTCTCCCAACGAGCAGCACTTTGGGCACCGACAGCTGGATGCTACAAAGTCCAGAGGAGAGCACAGCTACTCAAAGGCTGTTATTTCAGCAGCTGGTAAGCAGGCTGACTGCTGAAGAGTTACACCTGGTAGGTATCCTCCACACGGGAAGTTATGCTTGTCTAACAACATACTGGTAAAGTGAAATAAGTGTGTTTAAAATGCCTTACACAATATAGTCTTAGTAAAACTGATTATGCTTTTGCAAATAATATTGTCGACATTATAGTATCATGACAGCAATGCTCATTAGAGAAGAAATAACTTATAAAATTGCATGTATCAAGAATCCAATTAAGTTAAATTATATTCCCATAGGGAAGAAGGCAGTTGGCCAGATGGAGTGCTTATGTTAGGGTAGTAATGTGATGAGTGATTTCTCATTATTTTTTAAGTATTCTGTTATATATTTACTACTTTTATATAAGTATTTAAGAAAAAGCTGCTACACAGTAAAATTAGGTATAATAGTATAGTAGTTGTGTAACTATATACAATGCAATATAATTGTCTGTGTAACTCAGTAGTTGGACAGTAGTTACACAAATGTAGAAATGTCTTCTGAAAAGGAACATATACATATCCAGATTTGATTTAACGGTGATTATTATTTTTAAACTACCAGCGAATTCCTTATGTTACTTTGTCTTTTGCCTTCATACTCTTAGGAGGGGTCTCATTTCTGGTTCCCATTGTAAAATATTCTGGAGAAAAATAGAGTAGTCTTTGGACAGATGCTGTTCTAAGAGTTGTGTGCTCTGAGGAAAAGAGCACTGGGTTTGGGAGTCGGTGATCTGGATTAGGTCTCAGCTCTGCTGCCTACTGTATGTCTGGATAAATCTCTCAAGTGGTATTTCTGCCTCATGGTTAAGTACATGGGTTTCAAAGTCACATATGCTTGGCATCTTCTCTTACCAAGTAGGTGGCTTTAACAGGTTACTTCTGCCTCAGCCTCAATCCCTCCTTTATAAAATGGGGATAATAATTATTTTACCTCAGGACGATTGTGAGGATTCAGTGAGCACATAGTAAATACCTAGTAAATATTCCTGGTAATGTCAGGTTTTACTTATTTGTAAGTAGAAATATTAGGACTCTGTGATTAATAAATTCCCTTCTACCTCTAATAATTATCAAATCTCTCTCTTTTTTTTCATAGTTTTCACATTAATAATCATTGGGAAAATGGTTATTCTGTCTTTTAGTACACTACATTCTTCTTTAGGCATATTGACAATAATATTCTCAACTAATTAGAACTTCTCACATAGGTTGCTGATGTGGACCCTGGTGAAGGCTGGCCCCCCATCACTGGAGTTATTTCCCCGCTCTCTGCCAATGCTACAATCCTCACTGTGTTCCGCACCAAGGAGGCTGAATTTCAACGACATGTTCTCCAAACAGCTGTGACTGACAGCCCCCAGGACACAGCTTCCCTTTTCTCAGATGTTGTGGATGGTATATTGAATCAGACTCATGATTCACTTGCAGATACTGCTTCTGCTGGTAAGCTCCTAAACCAGTAACTAACATAGTCTAGGGTGGTTTGCAGTCTTTTCCAGCATCGGGACTTTTTCACTGTGCAGTTAGTAGAACCCCAATATGTTATAACACAGATAAAAGAAAGCTACAATACTTCAGGCAGTTTAAATCATTATTGTTTATAGATTTCCTTAAGTACTTCTGAGGAGGCTGCAGGTTCCATGAAACCAGTCTGAAATCGAAGTCATGGTTTTTAATATATTTAATAAATACTGCATATAAAACTGTTGTGATTCTATCTACCCTGCATTGCATTGTTACTACTGGCATTGCAACTAAATGCATTGTTACTACTAAATCTACCTAGCATAAATAAGGTTTGTATCATATTAGTATTACAAACTTTATTTATGCTAGGTAGATTTAAATGTCAACTTGATATTTCTTTAATTCATTCATTTATTCAACAGATTTGAGTACCTGCTGTATGTCAGGCACTGTTTGAGGTACTGGGACTATATTAGAGAACAATATGGACAAAGATATCTTCCCATCTAGTCAGGGGAGACAAAACAGTAAGTCAGGAAAATTACAGTTTATTCTAAAGAGACAAAAGTTATAGTAGTAAAGCAGGAACAAAGAAATGGGGTGTGTTAGGGTCGGGAGGGTTGCAATTTTAAGTAGGATGGTCAGGGAAGGCCTTGCTGAAAAAATAATATTTGAGCAAAGGCATGAAGGAAGTGATGGCAAGGAGTTGCTGGTAGAGGCAATAGCGAGTGCCAAGGCTCAGAAGGGTGTTAGAGGAGTTGCAGGGAAGCCTGTGGCTGTGGTGAAAGGAGCAAGGAGAGAGTAGGAGGGGGTGAGGTCAGAGAGCCAGCAGCAGACTAAACAGCAGCAGAGAGCCAGCAGCAGGGCTTTACAGGTACTGAAAAGACTTTGGCTTCTACTATGAGTGAGAGAGGAAGCCTTTGGGGATTTTCTGCAGTGACACGATCTGACTTATGTTTTCACAGCATTACTCTGGCTACCATATTGAGGCAAGGATAGAACCAGTCAGAAATATTGCAATAATCCAGGCAAGATATGGTGGGAAATGCAGGTAGTTGGAAGTACTTGTAGCTCTTGGATATATTTTGAAGGTAAAGCCAGCAAAATTTGCTGTTAGATTAAATGTGTAGGGTGAGCTATAGAGAAATTGAAAATGATTCCAGAGACTTTTGGCCTAAGTTACTGGTAGAAAGCAGTTTCCTTCTGAGATGGGGAAGGCTGTGGGAGAACCAGGGGCTGGGGTGGTGAGGACTGGAGGGTTTGTTTTGGGCATGGTAAGTTTGAGTTGTTCGTTAGACATCCACACATGGTATTGAGTAGGCATCAACTATGCATGTTTGTATTTGGGAGATTTGTTTGGACTAGAGATGATGGGAGTCATCAGTGATGTTTAAAGCCATGAGATGGGTTAAGATCACCATGGGGGTGGGCATAGATGGGAAAGAGAAGGGGACTAAGGACTAACCCCTGCATCCCAATGTTAAGCAGTCTGGGGGATGAGGAGAGAGAAACCAGCAAAGGAGACAAAAGGGGGACAGTCACTGAGGTAAAGAACACCCAGATTGTGGTACCCTGGAAGCCAAGTGAAGAGAGGAAGCGCTTGACTGGGTTACTTACTACTGATAGGCCAAGGAAGATGAAGGCTGGGAGCTGACATTCAACTGAGCAGTGTGGATGCTTGTGATACCATCACAATGTGATGGTTGTGATATCAGTTTTGGTGGAATTGTGAGGGTAGAAATGTGAGTGGGAGTAGGTTCAGAAGAGACTGTGAAAAGAGGAAAACAGCAAGTGCAGACAATTTTTTGGAGTAGTTTTGATCTAAAAGATATTAGAGTAATGAAAACAGTGGCTACAGAGGGAAGAAGGGTCAAGGTTTTTGGTTTTGATTTTTAGAAATAATAATAGCCTGCTTGCATGCTGATGAGATAAAATGGTAAAAATTAATGCAGGGGATAGACAGAATTGTTGGTTAGAGGGCTTTGAGGAAGCGCAAGTGGAGGGGTTGGTCTTGGGAACAAGCACAGTTCATCTGTGACAACTGGGGGAAGGCAAAAATATAAGGGCTGGGGTGCCGAGGTGAGTGATGTTGGTGTGAGTGTATGGGGTTCTCTTCTGATTGCTTCAGGTTTTTTAGTGAGTTAGGAAGTGACATCATCAGCTGAAAATGAAGACTTAAGGAGATGCTGGAGGCTGAGGAGAGAGGGGAGAAGGAAGTGGCTGGTGAGAGGGTGAAGATAGCAGGAAGGTGGAAGGTTGCTGGGATGGTCGTGAAGGTAAAGTGAGATCCCTCTATGGGCTTGCCTTCCTCCAACCACATTCACCAGCTGGCACAGCTGCAGAGTAGGCAGGGAGCTGGATTAACCAGGGTTGGAATTTTCCCAAATGAGGGCGGTAAAGCTAGAGAGGGGTCAGGGATTCAAAGGTATGAACGGGAAGAGATTTAGGATTTGTCCATGGAACAAGGCAGGGTAAGGAGGAAAGTGAGGACAACAAGGACAGGCGATCAGATCAGTGGGTTGTAGGGGTCTCAGGATTTCTGGAGCCCATGTGCTCAAAGGATAGAGTTAAAAAATAGATGGAGGTGGTCAGAGTGGGGTGCTTGAGATCATAGACAGTGGTGACCAGGAGGAGAGAGTGACTGAAGGATGGCAATGCACCGGGGCACCAGAGGCGAGGAATTCAAGGGGACAAAGGCCAGAGTGTTGGTAGCATCAAATGTGTGTATTGAAATAATCCAGAGTTAAGACTAAATAGTACTGGAGAGACTGATGGTGGTGAGTCGGGAGCTAACAGTCTTTGAGGAGTAAGGGGGAATGATCCAGGCTTGTTAGATGACTATGAGAGTATAGGCTTTGATGTGAGACTCAAAGCTGGGTTTTTGTCATTATTTTCAGCAGGTAGAGGGAAAATGATCTGGAAGAGGCAAGGAGGATACCAGCCCACCTCAGGGCCAAGTCGAAGAAGAGCTTGGCGGGGGAGCAGTCAGCTCTCTCCAGCGCTGCAGGGGAAACAGTGTGTTCAGGGCAGGAGAAGATGGAATTGAGGATATAGGGGATTTTGCTGATGAGGGTCAGTGAGTTCCAGAGGGCAGGGTGGGAGGATTTTATGTGTGGAAGGGCTGGGCCGAGGTGACAGGATAGGAGACGGAAGGAGCAGTGAGGAGATTCCAGTGGGCAGACTGGAGTGACCTAGGGGTCTAGGGCTTCGCATGATGGGAAAAAGCAGCTATCAAGGGGATCATGAGATTAATTCCTGGTGGTTTCAATGCAGCTAATGGTGCTGAACCTGTGAGTTTGGGGGGTAAGAAGTGTGGGTGTTCGGCCCACCCACACTCCTGTCCATGTAGGCGTGGAGACTACAAGGAGGGCATCTAACTCCGAGGGCCTAGGGCTCCCTCCAAAGTCCTGCCTGGGAGGCCAGTGGAGGGTGGCCTTGTTTTTAGCGTTGGGCTCCTGCTTGGCATTTGCTGGAAGAGGTGCAGGTAACTCTGTGAGGGGCACTCTCTCTCCATGCAGAGGGAGGCTTGAGACTTGGAGGCCTGAGGCAGGTATTTCTGGCCTTTCTCCCCTAATCCAGCATACAATGACTTGAGAAGAAACTATCATGTCATATTTATTCTCATAGACCTTTACTGCCCTTGTCTGAATTTTGTAATAAAACAGCAGATGCAATTATAGGCATTTATGCTGTCATGTGATGTGAAGTTTCTTTTGCTTGTTTAAAAAATTCTACAAAATCTTACACTAAAAATAATAGCTTTGGGAGAACTACAGTTGGGACAGACTTCTCAAAATCTTTGGCAGTGATAAAAACTAAGGCAATCCTGGGTGGGGGGACACGTGCCTGTAATCCCAGCTCCTCGGGAGGCTGAAGCAGGAAGATTGCTTGAGCCCAGGAGTCCAAGACCAGCCGGGCAACATAGCAAGACCTTGTCTCAATTAAAAACAACAAAAAAAGTGCAATCCTAATAAAAATTATAGTTTGATTAAAAGACACATTAAATTCATAATAAGTAAACTCCATAATAAATATACCTTATCCCTTAAAAGAAAGGTGAAGATGGCATGATGGAAGGGTTGAGACTGTGGTATTATGGAGACAGGGGCCAATGACAACGATAGGGAACTACATCATAAGCACTTCCAGGAAAGTGCATGTGGCCAAACAGCCAAGGAGAAGAACACGAGTTGAAAGGGCGTAGTCGGCTGGGCACGGTGACTCATGCCTGTAATCCCAGCACTTTGGGAGGCTAAGGCTGGCGGATCACGAGGTCAGGAGATCGAGACCATCCTGGCTAACATGGTGAAAGCCCATCTCTACTAAAAATACAAAAAATTAGCCGGGCGTGGTGGCGGGCGCCTGTAGTCCCTGCTACTCTGGAGGCTGAGGCAGGAGAATGGCGTGAAGCCAGGAGGCGGAGCTTGCAGTGAGCCGAGATTGCTCACTGCACTCCAGCCTGGGCGACAGTGAGACTCCATCTCAAAAAAAAAAAAAAAGAAAGGGTGTAGTGTACAGCACTGTGCTCCTCTGGCTGTTTGTATTTAGTTGTGTTTGTGCACTTTGAATTCAGCTGCTGCTACTTGGTGGTATAAAATAATAGCACATTAGGAATGATCACATAACCAAAGCAACATAATATTTTGTACTAATGTCACTACCTTACTTATCAATTGTTTGTAGGCTATTTGTAGAAAGTTTTGTATTGTAGAACAGACTGTATCTTAACTATGTATATAGTCTTGGAAGCAGCTCAGAAAACTGTATTTTGGAATTTGGTAAAGGAAGAACTGCAGTATTTTACAAGTACTCTGCTGTAGCATGGCCCACAGTTTCTTCCAGGTTATAAATCAGTGTGCCAGCTTGTTGTCCAGTCTCCCCACCATGCTCCATCTGGGTGAGATCCTATTCCTGCATTAGAACCTAGCCCAAATACTGCATTCTCCATGAGACCTTTCTTGCCCATCTAGACAGAGTTAGCATATGCTAACATTTATACATATCTCCATGACTTCACAAGAGTGGACCTACTCTTCCTATGCTGGGAGCTCCTTTCGAAGTAGGCATTGTATTTATCTCTGAGTTCTGTCACTGAACGAAGGCCTAAAACTTGGTTGTCTCAATAAGTTTGAATACATTTTAAGTATTTGGGTTTTTTCCCCAAGACTTCATTAATGTCTAACATTTCATTTGTCTAGGGTCTTAGATGGACCTCTCAGAATTACAGAGTTCACTGAAATTTCTGTTACTGTTCCCCCAACCACCTCCTCCATCAGGCTTATTTTAAGAGAACCTTCTACCCTTACACTCCCCAACGCAGAGCCACATCTTCCTATTTCCAATTTACCTACTCAGTGCAACAGAATTGTGATATTCTGCAGTTTTGTTACTGTATATTTATTATTGTACAAAGCCATTTTTTTTTTTTTTTGAGACTGAGTCTCGCTCTTTGCCCAGGCTGGAGTGCAGTGGCGTGATCTTAGCTCACCGCAACCTCCACCTCCCAGGTTCAAGCTTCTCCTGCCTCAGCCTCCTGAATAGCTGGGAATACAGGCACCTGCCACCACACCCAGCTAATTTTTGCACTTTTAGTAGAGACGGGGCTTTGCCATGTTGGCCAGGCTGGTCTCAAACGCCTGACCTCAGGTGATCCACCCACCTCGGCCTCCCAAAGTGCTGGGATTACAGGCATGAGCCACTGTGCGCAACCATACAAAGCCATTTTTAAGAACAGGACTAGGCGTTGTGGCTCAGGCCTATAATTCCAGCACTTTGGGAGGCCAAGGCAGGCGGATCACCTGAGGTCAGGAGTTCGAGACCAACCTGACCAACATGGAGAAACCCTGTCTTTACTAAAAATACAAAATTAGCTGGGTGTGGTGGCACATGTCTGTAATCCCAGCTACTCAGGAGGCTAAGGCAGGAGAATTGCCTGAACCCGGGAGGCGGAGGTTGCGGCTCATGAGCCGAGATCGTGCCACTGCACTCCAGACTGGGCAAGAAGAGTGAAACTCTGTTTCAAAAAAATAAATAAATAAATAGAAGAACAATATATATTTTTAACCTGGTTAGAAGAACATTTCAGAAATAAGATGAGAGGATTTATAGCCAGTAATAACAAAAGATTTTAAATTGTATCTGTAGGTTTTTCAGTAGCATTTTTTATTTACCACATAGGCCTGTAGCAGTTTGTGGTGCCAGAGAACAAATGTTAGCCGGAGAACAAATGCACTTTGTATGTCCTTTGGAGGAATGCAGTCAGTCCAGGGGAAGAGCAAGTGCTTAGAATTCTCTGCTTTGGTTCTCATGCGGTTTCCTCTCCTGCCTCTGTTCCTTTGCTCCAATAGCTTCTCCTGTTCCAGAGTGGGCCCAGCAGGAACTTGGCCACACCACTCCCTGGAGTCCAGCTGTTGTGGAAAAGTGGTTTCCTTTCTGTAACATCCGTGGTGCTAGTTCCAATTTGATGGAGTCATTTGGGTAAAACTTTTTTATATCTCTGAGTATTAATTATTAAAATCAATGTTCAGTTATCTGCATTTTTTTCTTAACAGGCCACATTCTCTGAGTACAGTCTAATAATATTAAAAACTAATTACAAAGATAAAATACTCTCATACTTAGTATATATTGTGAGAGTATGTTAGATAATATGTTAACAATATATAAACATATACATGCTAAAAATTCTTTAAAATTTACCAAAGTAATTCATCTAGTTAAATATAAACACTCCCTTATATTATGAAAGTGAGAAAATATTTATAACTAAGTATCAACGCAAATAGAAAACAGCAAATTTGAATAATGCAGCTGAATTTATACTTAAAGAAGTATTTGCAGACTATTTTTGTAAAGAAAAAAGTTAGTAATCAATTACTAAAAATCCAACATGAGAAGTAAACAAGAGAGTAACCTCCACCCTACAAAAGAAGGAAAGCAATGAAGATAAGAACAGAAATAAATTAAATAGAAAACAAATAAATGTAAGTGATCAAGAGAAACAAAAGATGGTTATTTGAAAAGCCAAATAAAATAATCTATAGCAAGATCAAGCAATTAAAAGACAAACAATATTAGAAATGTAAACGATACGGCAGAAATTCAACCTATTATTAAGAGGTATGGTTGACGTTTATTTTCTCCACACAGATATCCATTCAATTGTTCAAACACCATTTGCTAAAAGACTATCTTTTCCCACTAATTACCATGGCACCTTATCAAAAATCAACTGGCCACCTTTGTGCAGATTGATTTCTAGACAGAATACAGTCCAGAAACTATGTTAATACGACATTATCTTCAATATTGCGTTACAGCAATACTATATACTGTAGCTTTATAGCACTAGTCACTAAATCAGGTAGCATAAGTCCTCTAAACTTTGGTTTTGTTTTTTTAGAATTTTTTTTGGTTATTTTAGATACTTCGCATTTTCATATAAACTTCAGAAACAGCTTGTCAGTTTCCACGCACACACAAGTCTGTTGAAACTCTAGGAGTACATTGAATCGTAGATAAATTTGGAAAGAACTGACATCTTAACAATGTTGAGTCATCCGATCCATGAACATGGTGCAGCTATCCATTTATTTAGGTCTCTCTTTAATCTCCCTCAGTGTTTTGTAGTTTTTAATGTACAAATGTGGCCCATGTTTTTTTTTTTTTTTTGTAATTATCTCTAAGTATTGTTATAAGGTGTAAATATTGAAGTGTTTGAAGATAGTATGATTGTCTTTATGGAAAATCCAGGCCCAACATGGTGGCTCACACCTGCAACCCCAGTACTTTGGGAAGCCAAGGCCAGCAGACATTTGAGGCCTGGGGTTCAAGACCAGCCTGACCAACATGGTGAAACCCCGTCTCTACTAAAAATACAAAAAAATTAGCCCGGCATGGTGGCACATGTCTGTAATCCCAGCTACTTGAGAGGCTGAGGCACAAGATTCACTTGAATCCAGGAGGTGGAGGTTGCAGCGAGCCAAGATCGTGCCACTGCACTCCAAGATGGGTGACAGAGCACCAGCACACTTAGGGAGGATTAACCTGCTTCATACTGGCTGTATGGATGAAACCGACAGACCCAGCACGTATTCCACCCTGTAATATCTGTTCAACTAATGTCACCGTAACTTTCTTCCACTTTTTAATCAGATATATCAGATAATGGAAGGTATTAAAATACAAATAACACATTTTGAATGTTGTGCCATTTTCATAATTTCGTTAATGACATATTTAGCTCTAGGTGGAAAAGCATTTAATAACTAATCACCCCTCCTGCCTGCCCTACTTCCTCCTCTTCTCATCAATCCCGAATTAGTTTATTACAATGTGAAAGAATTATTCGAAGTCATTGCAATACTTACTACAATGTATTAACATCATTTTTTACTTCGATATGTGGAAACTGAGTAAAAAATAACTGTGGAAACCTGAAGTGAAATAGTTGCCATAATTAGACTTGTACCCTAATTCATGAAGAATCCTATTAATAAAAGTCAATATTATATGTAATAGTTAATGGTTTTGTAAACAAGACAGCTTTGGTTCCTGCATTCATTCAAATCAAAAATGAGAGGAGAGACATTTTCTCTCCTAAGAAAATATATTTTTGAAGGCATCTTGTGGGGACATCTTTTGGTTAGCTTTTTAGAGGATAGTGGGTATTTCAGTGTTGTTTATTTCTAAAGCATTTTGCAAAATTAGAATTTTGGTTTTATTCTAGACATCTTGACTTTACAGGTCGTTACAGGCTGCCTCAGCTAATAAGGAAGAGTCTTCCAAAACTGAAGATGAATTAACACATTGCCTTGCCGAGCTCTACCAGAGAAAATCTCGTGAAGAATCCACCATAACTCATCAAGAAGACAGCAAAAAGAAACGTATGCACCTAGAAAGGCTGTTTCTTAAGGCATTGTTTTCTGAGACTACATTTTAAAAGATTGGCATTTCCTGAAATGAGGTTGAAATGGTAACTAAATAAAGAAGGGCAAATTTTTATAATTAAATTTTAAAATAATTACATTAGTTCAATAGTGATTTTTTAAAAATCACCCAGTCTTATCTGTCTAACGAATAAACCATCTTCATTTTTAATTATGATAGAAATTCAAATACAACTTTGTGTTCTGCTTATAAGTATTTTTTCTTTTGCTATCTTGCCTTTTTAGATATTATTCCACCTCATTAACTAAAGTTACAAAATTCTCAGGTTGAACATTTAGATTGCTTTCAGTTTTCATCATTATAAATAATACCGTAGTATACATTATGCATATAATTTGTTTTTTAAGTAATTACCTTAGCAGAAGTTTCCAGGAACCAGTTACTGTGTCAGGGTATGAAAACTGGCTCTTTATGTAGATTGCTAAATTGTCATTCAGAAAAGTTTCATCACCATTTTTGGTGGCCATTGAGTAACAACAAAATAAGTCTGTTTGGCATTTGCCTTATGGGAAAACCATCCATTGAGATGTTTAGTTCCAATCCAATCACATAGAGATGTTTAGTTCCTAAACTTTGGTTAAAAGAAAGGTTCTCTTTCTACCCTGTGTGTGGGCAGAAAGAGATGCAAGTATTTCCTAATTCAAATCATTCTGGAGGGATATGCTTCATTTTGATATTCTTTCACAGTAATCTGAATTAAAGTAGTTCTTGATTCCACAGAAGTGGAAGGCAATTTACTTTCCCTCCTCTGATGTTTTGGTAGGAGGTGTCCCTCGTTGCTCAATCTGCTAAAAAAAATAAATAATATATTATATTGCTCAAGCCCCTGTAATCCCCAGCACTTTGGAGAAACCGAAGACGCGAGGGAGCGGAAAATCACGATGTCAGGCATCGATAGCCATCCTGGCTAACACGGTGAAACCTCCGTCTCTACTAAGAAATGACAAAAAACTATCCACGCCGGGCAGTGCTAAGAGCCCTGTAGTGCCCAGCATCGCGCAGGCTAGGCAGTGAGAATGAACAGTGAACCGCAGGGACGGAAGCTTAGCAGAAATGAGCTGAGATCCCGCAACTGCACTCAGCCTGGCTACAGACGCCGAGACTAATCCGTCTCAAAAGAAAAAAAAAAAAAAAAAACGAATTTTGTTTATTCGCTTTCTTTTTTTGTTTTTGAGACAAAGTTTTGCTCTTTGGCCCAGGCTGGAGTGCAATGCACGAATCTTGGCTCACTGCAACCTCCTCCCCAGGTTCAAGCAATTCTCCTGTCTCAGCCTCCCTAGTACTGAGATTACAGGAGCATGCCACACACCCAAAGCTAATTTTTGTAGTTTTCGTAAGATCGGGTTTTTATCATAATTGGTCAGCTGTCTCGAACTCCTAACAGGTGATCCGAGCCTGCCTCGCGCCTCCTAAC